ATATATATAATTCAAGTGTACTTTTAGCTTGATAAAAAATTCGAAAATAAAGTTTAAAAGAAAATAATAAAATATAACACTAAATTATATTTTCTTTTATAGCTTCACAGAAAATTGTAAAAAGATCAAAAGAAAATTAATACATATAATAGCAGTAATAATAATAATGTTGCTATTAAGTTAAAATGTGTTTATATAGCTTCACAGAAAATATTAGAGAAGTTATTTTGATTAAAAAAAATTCAAGAAGTTTAAAAGAAAATTGAAAAAAGCTGCTTAAAAACCTGTCAGCATGTAATTGAAGAGCAATAGTTGCAATAAAAAGATATTTAGATAGTAGTTATCTCTTATTATCATTTGACATTAGGAGTCGATTTCTTCTCTCCACCAGAAGGTGGCGCTTGATGACCGCGTTGAGTTTAGGAGCAGCAAAATGGAACTAAAAGCTGAAAATAACGCATGGTTTCTCATACAGGAGAGAGACAAGCTTCGTGGAGCAGCGTTAACTCGCGGAATCAGATCTGCAGTGAAAACATCTGCTTTCCTGCTGCTCTCCCTGAAGATAACAATACTCCTACCCCCAAAATGACCAACAGGGTCTTTCCTTTTGCTTTCCATGAAGCACATATCTAGAATATTTTGATGATACAGAGAATACATTTTTCATGCAGGTTGAGATGTGAATATCTTGAATATCTCACTTAATTAATTTGCATATCAGAATTATTAGGTCAGAAATCAGATCATTCAGAATTATAAAATGGATAAAAGATCAATTAATTTCTTTTTAAATAATAGGATGATTTCTGATTAAAGTGACTTTTCTTGTGAATGTGTTCATAAAAAAATGTGACCACAAAACCTCTAAACCTCCAAGCTGTTACATTAATGAAATTAATTTTACAGGTGTTAATTTAAGCATTTGTTATCCAAACATTCTTTGATCTTTATAATGTAATTATTTTGTTTTATAAGATTAGAAATAGTTTGTCTTAATTTTGTAGGTGAGAATCCGCGCATTGGATCTACATTTTTTTTTTTTAAGCAAAATTCTATAATCTTTTATTTATAGATTTTTCCTGATAATTTGCATGTCAATCAGCATGCGTGCATAACATCTCTAAATCAAACATTTGTCATTTTCTTAATGCTTTCACAAAGTTGTCCAAACAATAGCAACAATGTGCAATATCAGTATGTAAATATTCCTACAATGCGTTTCCTTTCTCTAATAATGTATCATACACATTTAATGTTTTGTCTTTTGTGTGTTATCTTCACTGTAAGATTGTTCAAAAGAAAAGAAACTAATATTAAACCTTTGACTACTGTCTAATTCCAGATTAAATTATTGAAGTGATTTCTACATTAGCTTCATTTGCTCCTTTTTTTTTTCTCTGCACAATTCCACACTCATTTGTATAAATACATTCAGCTTGGGGGAAAAAAAGCAAAGCGATATAGCACAAATCACACACAAATGTGTGCACAAATACTCTTAAAACAATTCCTTTTTCAGTTTTATGATGTGCTCTTTAGGGCTGGTTTGTAAATATTAATTGGAGAAGAAAGTCCTGCAGTTTCCATCCATTGAGTGCTACAGAAAGTATATTTGTTTTTGTTTTTTTCTTCCACCAGAGTGCTGTGTAAACTTAACATTTGGACCCTCTTGAGGATTCCAGTTGTTTTTGGCCAGTGACCATCTTTATATCGCTTGTAGACTGATGGTGAGGTGAAAGGTCGTGACATTTGCTTGTCTGAGGTTGATGTCAGAGGTGATCATGCCACATGTCTGTCCCATTAAACACAACACCCAACAGATAACTGGATGTTGGAGGTCAAAGGGTAGATGAATGCAGTTAAGAGTACAGGTTTTTTTTTTTTTTTTTTTTAAATTAAATGTCCTCGGGCCAGATTTACAAAACACTCTCAATAATAAAATCCTTCCGCGTTCTGTTGTACAGTGAAAAACAAATTATAGAAAAGAATATGGGTGATGTTCTCTGCTTTCATGGCATGTTTGTAGCTGCCAAGTTTCAGCTATAAAAGCACGCAACATCCGGTAGGTGACGCTTGCTCGCTCTCATTGGCTATAGCGGGTATCATGTCAGAGGCAGCTTGATCAAGAGTCCTAAATATCAAACATGTTTTGTCTCGATCGGGAGCAGTTAAATAATCGTAATGACACCACACAATAGAGGATTTTTTGGACAAAAAATAGTTTGCGACAAGCCGCGAATCGGGCCACACCCCCCGATCCTTCAGGGGTGCAAATCGGGCTTCAAATCGTCCTTAAAATCTTCTAGTGTGCGGCCAGCCTAAGGGACCGTTGAACACGATCCTTTTTGTCCTTGAAGACATTTGTACACTAAAATGTGTAATCATTTAGACGCAACAATTGTGAAAATGCTAGACATGCATAAAAGCCACAGAACTGAACATGCACAGGGAACAATAATGCACGGTGAGTTTGTATATAAAATAGTGCTGGTTTAATATTTGTAGTAGTTTAGTTTATCTTCATAATAAAATGTTTAGTAATTATGTTGTAGTAACAACAATTCAAATGTATTTTATAGCTGCATAGAAAATACAAAATAAAGAGCAAAAGGAAATGAATATATAAATACATATATATATA